CCAATGCCCCCAATGTCCCCATGTCCCCCAATGTCCCCATGTCCCCCCATGTCCCCCCACACCCCGATGTCCCCACATCCCCCAATGTCCCCGCGTCCCCCAACATCCCTGATGTCCCCAATGTCCCCCACTCCCCCAATGTCCCCATGTCCCCAACATCCCTAATGTCCCCAACGTCCCCATGTCCCCCATGTCCCCGTGTCCCCCAATGTCCCCAATGTCCCCATGTCCCCAATGTCCCCATGACCCCCAATGTCCCCCACTCCCCCAATGTCCCCACATCCCCCAATGTCCCCGCGTCCCCCAATGTCCCCCCATGTCCCACTGTCCCCAACGCCCCTCCCCACCCCATCCCAACGTCACCGGCGTCATCGAGGAGGACGTTCTCGGGCTTGAGGTCGCGGTAGACGATGCGGTGCTGGTGCAGGTGCTCCAGCCCCAGCAGGATCTGGGCGGTGTAAAACACGGCCCGCGGCTCGAGGAACCCGGGGTTGTCCTCGTCCACGTTGTATATGTGGTACCTGACACGCCAAGCACACGCTAAGCACACGCCAGCGCGTGGGGACACGCCAGCAGCTGGGGTGGGGGGGAACGCGCTGGGGACACGGCTTGGGGAACCTGGCGTGACCTCATCCACATCGCATGTGTGGCACCTCCACATGCTAAGGACACGCTAAGGACACGCCAGCACCTGGGGACACGCTGGGGACGTGATATGGAGAACCCAGGCTTGGCCTCGTCCCCATTGCATGCATATGGCACCTGCACATGCTAAGGACATGCTAAGGACATGCCAGACCTGCTGCTGGGAGGCGTCTCCAGCAGCGTGGCACACGCCAAGCACACGCTTACCGCAGGTCGCCGCCGTTCATGATGGTCATGACGAGGCAGAGGTCGGTCTTGGTCTGGAAGGCGCAGGCCAGCGAGACGATGAAGCGGCTGTGCACGCGTGCCAGGATCCGCTTCTCCACCAGCGCCGCCTGCACACGCCAAGCACACGCCAAGGACACGCAGCTGGTGATGGGCCAGCCCACGCCAAGGACGCGCCGGGGACATGCAGGTGGCACACGCCAAGGGAAATACGGGTGGCACGTGCCGAGGGCATGTAGTTGACATGTGCCAAGGAAAACATGGATGATACATGCCAAGGACATGCAGGTGGCACACGCCAAGGACATGCAGGGTGGAACACACCAGGGAAAACACGGGTGGCACATGTCAAGGACATGAAGGTGGGACACACCAAGGAAAACATGGGAGGAACACGCTAAGGACACGTTGGGTGGAACACACCAAGGAAAACATGGATGATACATGCCAAGGCCATGCAGGGGGCACACGCCAAGGACATGTGGGGTGGAGGACACCAAGGAAAACATGGGAGGAACATGCTAAGGCCATGCAGGGGGCACACAGCAAGGAAAGCATGGGAGGAACATGCCAAGAACATGCAGGGGGCACACACCAAGGACATGTGGGGTGGAGGACACCAAGGAAAACATGGGAGGAACATGCTAAGGCCATGCAGGGGGCACACAGCAAGGAAAGCATGGGAGGAACATGCCAAGAACATGCAGGGGGCACACACCAAGGACATGTGGGGTGGAGGACACCAAGGAAAACATGGGAGGAACATGCTAAGGCCATGCAGGGGGCACACAGCAAGGAAAGCATGGGAGGAACATGCCAAGAACATGCAGGGGGCACACACCAAGGACATGTGGGGTGGAGGACACCAAGGAAAACATGGGAGGAACATGCTAAGGCCATGCAGGGGGCACACAGCAAGGAAAGCATGGGAGGAACATGCCAAGAACATGCAGGGGGCACACACCAAGGACATGTGGGGTGGAGGACACCAAGGAAAACATGGGAGGAACATGCTAAGGCCATGCAGGGGGCACACAGCAAGGAAAGCATGGGAGGAACATGCCAAGAACATGCAGGGGGCACACACCAAGGACATGTGGGGTGGAGGACACCAAGGAAAACATGGGAGGAACATGCTAAGGCCATGCAGGGGGCACACAGCAAGGAAAGCATGGGAGGAACATGCCAAGAACATGCAGGGGGCACACACCAAGGACATGTGGGGTGGAGGACACCAAGGAAAACATGGGAGGAACATGCTAAGGCCATGCAGGGGGCACACAGCAAGGAAAGCATGGGAGGAACATGCCAAGAACATGCAGGGGGCACACACCAAGGACATGTGGGGTGGAGGACACCAAGGAAAACATGGGAGGAACATGCTAAGGCCATGCAGGGGGCACACAGCAAGGAAAGCATGGGAGGAACATGCCAAGAACATGCAGGGGGCACACACCAAGGACATGTGGGGTGGAGGACACCAAGGAAAACATGGGAGGAACATGCTAAGGCCATGCAGGGGGCACACAGCAAGGAAAGCATGGGAGGAACATGCCAAGAACATGCAGGGGGCACACACCAAGGACATGTGGGGTGGAGGACACCAAGGAAAACATGGGAGGAACATGCTAAGGCCATGCAGGGGGCACACAGCAAGGAAAGCATGGGAGGAACATGCCAAGAACATGCAGGGGGCACACACCAAGGACATGTGGGGTGGAGGACACCAAGGAAAACATGGGAGGAACATGCTAAGGCCATGCAGGGGGCACACAGCAAGGAAAGCATGGGAGGAACATGCCAAGAACATGCAGGGGGCACACACCAAGGACATGTGGGGTGGAGGACACCAAGGAAAACATGGGAGGAACATGCTAAGGCCATGCAGGGGGCACACAGCAAGGAAAGCATGGGAGGAACATGCCAAGAACATGCAGGGGGCACACACCAAGGACATGTGGGGTGGAGGACACCAAGGAAAACATGGGAGGAACATGCTAAGGCCATGCAGGGGGCACACAGCAAGGAAAGCATGGGAGGAACATGCCAAGAACATGCAGGGGGCACACACCAAGGACATGTGGGGTGGAGGACACCAAGGAAAACATGGGAGGAACATGCTAAGGCCATGCAGGGGGCACACAGCAAGGAAAGCATGGGAGGAACATGCCAAGAACATGCAGGGGGCACACACCAAGGACATGTGGGGTGGAGGACACCAAGGAAAACATGGGAGGAACATGCTAAGGCCATGCAGGGGGCACACAGCAAGGAAAGCATGGGAGGAACATGCCAAGAACATGCAGGGGGCACACACCAAGGACATGTGGGGTGGAACACATCAAGGAAAACATGGGAGGAACACGCCAAGGCCACGCAGGGGGCAGCCGCCAAGCGGAGGGCCAGCTGGGGGGCCAGCGGGCTGGCCGAGGGGACAGACGGCCGCCGTCCCCACCCCCGCGTCCCCGCGGCGGGGGTGGTGGGGGTGGGGGTTCCCCACCTCGTAGCCCTGGCGCTTCTTCAGGCGCTTCTTGTTGAGGCGCTTGTTGGCGTACATCTTGCCGGTGGCGCGGCGCTGGCAGGCGCAGACCTCGCCGAAGCCGCCCTTGCCCAGCACCCTGAAGTCGGCGAAGGCG